AATCAGAAGGTGAAGAGAAGGAGATCAGAAAGCGTAAAAGATAAAAAACAACCTCTTTTCCTATTTATAGGGTAGACACGTAAATTGAGGCATCACATAGTGATAAGCGTCACACCAAATAACATTTCACGTTTAATTAAATATTATTTTTTTGCAAATAACATGAATACAAATCATGAAGAAAAAAAAGAATTTTAAAAGGATCTTCTACCGCTTTAGATACCCCTTTTGAAGAAACCTAATCAGTTCCATCTTGTCAATGTCTTGACCAAATCTAGTCAAAACAGTCAGGTTAAGGATGGGCCTTAACTTCGTGTGCACATTGCTCATTGAACCTTGGAGCAATGCAATCTCACCCTCTAGCCTGGTAATGTTGGCCGACCTTTGTTGAAGCACAGTGTCCTCTGCCTCCAGTTTCTCACAACGAATCAACCATTCAAACACAAGTGCTTATGTAGGATTTTTCAACCTCTTGTATTGAAGGGTCGACCAACACCTTCATTCGGCGCTCCAATGAATCGAGGACAACTTTTGACCACCCTTCAGTTGCTCCTGCTATGAACCGTTAAAGTGGCTGATTGATATCCATAAGATGTGGTCGACCATAGAAGGAGGGGGTGCAACCCATCCTAAAGGCACAATTGCGACCAACGGGCTAGAATCAACAACGTCCTTAGATGGCCCGCCATCAGTGCGAGCCTCCAAAGAAATCAACTCATCTACAGTAAGAATGATATCAAAGGATAATTAAAAAATTTTTGAAAGAAATATCTTTATATACCCACAAGTCTATTTATTTCAGAAAGAGACATAAATTTTTCCACTCCTTAAGCCTGAGCATTTCCTTCCTTACTTCGCAAAGAAAGTGGGGGAGAGTTGGCAATTGACTTTTCTCTCAGGTCCACTTAACCACTCTCACTAGGAGCAGCAACTCACTCACTTTTTCAGCAGCTGCACCAGCACTTGGGTTGGAGGCCAGACAAGAGGTACACCATCGATGACTTCTTTGGTGGTCGAGCGACAGGGCTATCAAAAGAGGCAATTTGATCTACTAGCTCAAGTTCAGTGTACCTCGCTTCTTTTTATTAATAATTATTTTCTTCTTCTTTTCAGCGGTAGAAGATGTAGGAAGTTGAAAGCCTCCCAAAGCTAGTACTCCTTCCTACCTGACCCTATTTCTTAGACTCCCGCAATTTCAAACTAAGTTAAACTAATCATTCTTGATCTCATACTTTGATGTCATCTGATCACATCAAAATTCACTAATAGTCTTTTCCAAACTCTTCAACCACCATTATTTTGTTAAACCTTCTTCCCTATACTATTAAATCCATTTGTTTGGGTTTTTTCATGACACACTGTAACCTAATTGTAGGTCCCATCCTTTGAGCTTAATTTTTTTTAAAATCCCTTCCCCTTCGATCCTTCCTACACCTCCAAAGCCTTAAATTTGAAAGTCCAACCTTCAAATTTGGATAACATATGTCATTATATTAATCAAGACTATTCTTTAGGGCTCACAACTATGGATATGTAATTAACTGAGGGTTTGCCCTTGTAGGGAATCCGACCCCTAAATAAAATAACATTCATCTTACACCTATAAGATAAAGAAAAAAATCCTGGCTTTATAAAATTACAAACGTCTTCATCATCTGGATGATCAGACCTATTTTAGATAGTATTTCCTTACCTCGAGGCAGTATACTATTCTTTAAAATGGCGCACTTGGTCATTTAAGTAGAAGTCTTCCAAAAGTTCTATAGTGTGTAGCGACACAGAAATCCCTCACCACTATGATTTAACCAAATTGGTTCAAATCGGTAAATTTATTTAAAATAAACTAGGGAAGGTTAATATGAGCCAAATCTACTCATTTCACCAAATCAATTAATGAAACTCATGGTCTAGCCCTGACTTATTATTTATATGAAGCTTGACCCATGATCAAATAAATTAACTATAGGCTTACCTAAGTGGGGATAAAGATGACTTCATATGGCCAATAAGAATTTTCCATCTTTATGCCCAAATATTGTACTATTCTTTGTTTAAATGCTTAATGGCTTCATAACAACCTTGGCATTCATGCATGTTAATAATAGCTAAGCCTAATTCAATCATGTTTTAAGTGGTAGGATAGAAGAATTGATAAAAAATAATACAAAAAAAAATTAGGAGTCTCTTTAGTCATCTTCCTTAAGCTCTATGGAGATTATCAACAATTGAAAATATGCTCAGAGTGCATGATCTGCTCCAAAGCTCAAAATACCTCAAGTTGGCTTTCAAATTCCAATGATCCAAACCATATTAAACTAATTTGAGATAAAGTTTTATTTATCTTAAGTTCATGAAAGTGAGGGGATTAAATCTTTAGCTTTAATGAGCTAGATATAGGCATGTCTTCTCAGCCCTTAATAACTTTTCAATAGTTCTACATCCATAGAGTTTTAGCCAAGCTAGCCTAATTAAAACCCCTAGAATCATCGCCCTAGGCATCTTAATGTTCTTAAACATAAATTATTATAATTGGTAGTTTATGGAGAGAAAAAATAGTCTAGTTTGAACCAAAAAAAAAAAAAAACATTAGAATGCTTATAGAAATGAGCATATGCAATTCATTTTAATTAGAATAGTCAATATCATGTTGAATTTTAGATCCAGTCCATACATTTGATTGGTTTATTGTATATTTCATGTTATTTTATTCTGATTTCTATTATGATTATTTCATTAAACCAAATAAATTTAAATTTTAACCAAAGGTAATTCATCTTAAAAAACTTTCAAAAAATAAATTGCATGGTATTTATATCATATTTTTATTATTTAATTAGTATAATACATTATATTTTGTGTGTTGTACTTATAACTTGTATTTAAGAAATTTAAAACTCATTGGCAAGCTTAATTTTATCATTTTAATCCTTACATAATTATCTAATAGCATGATGAGGGGTAAATTATATCATCTCAAAATTTAAAGATGAAATTTTACTGTTAAAAAATCTCTAACTTACATACATATATTGAAACATTACAAAAAATTAAAGGAAGTTTAGAACATGTCCTTGCATATTCCAATTTTATTTTAGAATTTTAGGAAATAATTTAATATGCAAAAATTTAAAAAAAAGCCTGATTTTCACAACTTTTAATTTTTTAAATTATTTAAATAATTCTAAAATTTTTAATAAATTTTGGAAATGTTTCTTTTACATTGGACACCTTAAATTTTTTTATAATTGCTCTAGTCATTTGCATGAACTACCCCTTTTTTTCATAAATAAATAGCAATACATCAAATTAATAAATCCCACTTAGGGGACCCAAAACCATGTCAAGCTAGGAATGTATCATGAGCATTGACACACTCAATTTTTTTATTCTTTAATTGAGATTATTTCCTATTCTCCATATTTAAGATTCTATTTATTTCAGTAATTTAACTTCAGAAGTACACCAAAAATTATTTATTTTTTTTAAAATGGCTTAAACATGTTTTTTACCTTTTAAGTAGGGCTGTCAAAAAGGCTCATTGTTCGCGAACGGCTCTTGCTCATCTCATTAAGAAGCTCGTGTTCGATTCGTTCGATAAGTTAACTAGCCGAACACAAACATTTTTTGTGCTCGATATATAAACGAGTTAAACACGAACAAAGATTTGTTTTTCGTGTTTGGCTTGTATTAGCTAGAAATGCTACTCACCAATTATATATATATATATATATATGATGGGTAGCATTTTTAAAAATTTAATTGACTACAACTACAATGCTACAAAGATTTATAATCAATTAAATAAAAAACAGAATAAAAATATATTAAATTGTATTTAAATGATGTTTTAATATAAACAGTAAAATTTAAATCTTGCCTGAACCCTTGACATCTTATAGCTGCGTGATTAGGGTTGCAAAAATACACTATATGCAGACAGCTTGTGTTCAGCTCAACTCGGCTCGCTAAGCAAATGAGTCGGGCACAAACACACTTTTTGTGTTCGAAATATAAACGAGCCGAACACAAACAAAGATATTTTTAATGAACCCAACACGAGCTGAGTCTGGGCTCGCTCCTGCTCAGCCCGTTTACACCTCTACCTTTAAGGGCATTTACATGATTTTCCTTAAAAAAAAATCAGCTTTAATAATTTAATAATTTAAATACGAAAACATCCTTTTATCTTAAAAAAAATAGAATAATCAATCAAAATCAATATTTAAGCACTAAAAATTTAAACATTATTTTCAACATGCAATGCTTGTAGATTTAAAATTCTTGCACTTAATTTGACTTTTCTTAATTAAAAAAAGTTTAAAATTACATATAAAAGTACAAAGCAATTTCGAAAAAAAATTTGAAGTGCTGAAAATATTTATTTTATATGCTTGAGCATATTGCATTGACACTAGAACTTCTCACATCATATATTTCACATTATTAAAAGCCTTCTTTCATAATAAAACACATAAATGTTGTTTAATTAAATTATCAAGGCTCATTTTGAGCCTTCCAAATTTAAATATAACATACAATTATCCCCAAATAATTTTAAAAATATTTATAAATTTAGTATTTTTATTATTTTTCACCTCATAGAAGATCAATATGAAAGGGGTTGAATAATTTGCTAAAACATTCTTAAATTTAAGAATACATTTTAATTTGATTACATAAAATTGAAGGTTTAGTCAACCCAAAATGCATTATGGATAGACAAAGTACCCAAAATTTTCTAATTATTCCTTATTTTCCTTCGTTCATTTTGCTATGAAAAATTATATATATATATATA